AGACTGGGGAAAAAGAAATAATAAACAGTTCTCAGCTTTCACACTTTACTATCAAAACTTGCTGGGCCAGAGTTCTGTCCTTTATTATGTTAGTTAACAAAATGTCCTCCCGTGTGGATCCAAATAATAAATATTTGTCAAGAGGTAACGCTGACATTTGCAAGTTAGATTTAAGGCGAGTCCAATAAAGTGAGTTGGGCAACCGCCAGTCTTTGTAAAAATAGAGATCAAAGTCGTTTCCAAAATATGTCTTTTGTTAAGTAATTGAATTGACTCCAATGTTTTTCCCCCACTATTAATTCACCTATGCAAATTATGTAAACTTCACCTATGGAATGTTTTAAACAGAGGAGGAAATGCTAGTTTCCTGATCTGTTGTTTGTTAGTTCAAAAATTCAGCCTGAGTCCTATTAAGCCCAAGGCCATTGCCTCATTTTCCATGTGGCCCCACGTTCTCTGCTCTACAGTTTCAAAGCCACCAGAATCTGAATCTGTTTAACGAAACTGTGCAGAACCCAGGGGAGCTGGGTGGGAGGAAGTAAACAGACCACTGCGCCCTTCTCACTGAGGGCACGTGAAGGTCAAGGGCCAAGTGTGTCTCCCCCAAGAATGAGCAGCCTGTCTTGGGTTGTGGGTTTATTCCTGGCTCACTGATCCTATCTCAGGCTGTTTCCTAGCACCCAGAGGAATGTGGAATTTGCAGGAGGTACGTCACTTCTGATAACGTCTTACCCCCTGGAACTAAATAAAACCAGCCCTCCTGCATGGAAAAGGAATGTGTGCCTTTTCCTAGAACAGTGAACTGCAAAGATGGGAAGAACTAAGGGCATATAAGAACTCAAAAGACAGCAAATAAGTCAATGTAAAGAGGAGGCAAGTGAGAGAAACAGTTAAAGAATGAGAAAATTAAAGAATGAGATGGAGGCTTAGAAGGGATAAAATAAAAGGGGGAAAGGGATAAAAGCATTTGGAGTGGAACCCAATTTGTCTCAGACCACCCACATCAAGTTGATTTGTTGCTCAAGTAGTATTGTCTTCCTAAAAGAATTCAATTGGCCCTATTGGACTCCAAATGAATCCGTTCTTACACATCTTTTTGGAACACACGTTGTTGTGAGTTACCTTTACAGAACACTAATTGTTATAAAATAATATATGTAGAATAACTTTGCGAGGATTCACAAAACACTGCATAACATGGATCCACCCAGAGGGCATTCTGCTAGGTGAAGTTAAGTCAGTCACAAAAGGATAACTGAAAAGCTAAGGGAACGTTTACACACAGATAGAATCACTCTTGAATGGTTACCAGGGATGAGAAGGGAGAGACGGTGAAGTAAGATTGCTATCAGGCACACGGTAAGATAGCTGACTTGTTATGTGCTATTGCATCACAACATGCTCATAGTGGACCATCCAGTGTGTTTTCAAAGGCTGTAAATCACACAACAGGAAATTGTCCATCTTTTTCCTGTAGAGCAGCTGGTGGATGCCAACTGCCTGCCTTTGGATAGACAGTGCAAGTTCTTATCATCAGGCCACCAGAGCTTCCCTTAGATAGGAGGAAGGAAGGACAATATCCAACAAGAGGATAAGCAGTGCAGCATCACTAAAGAAAGAGAAGACAGAGATAGAGAGGGATTAATGGAAATCAGAATACAGAAGGGAAGTGGGGAAAGTGAAGTTACATTTTGTTGTTGTCTTGTGCCTTCGAGTTGGAATTGACTCATAGCTGAACCTTCCAATGGCTGGTCAGAGGCTGTAAATCACCCAGGAGGAGCTTCCCCATCTTTCTCCTGAGGATTGTGGTCGGTCCAAGCAGCCAACATTGAGTTAGGAGTACAACTCCCTACCTCTGTGCCACCAGAGCTCCATCATTACACTGTTGTGGGTATCAAAATCAGTCTTCCTGAACAAAATATATGGAATGGCTGAGTGAAATATTCATTTGCTTTGTAAACCTTAAATCAAAATCAAAATAATGAAATTTTTTTAAAAAACAACAACCTAGGGTAAGTCAGCAATCATTTTCATTCTTTTTCAAAACAATTCTATATGAAAATCTTTGTGACCATAAATTTGCTTACCCCTACTGTTCCCACCCCTTTTTCATGGTTATGTCAATTAGACTTGGTATCAGAATTATGGAAGCTCTCACTCTTAGAACATGTGAAATCTAGAATACAAATTACAGGCTTTCAAAGTACAGTGGCAGGACAAGTTCAAGGTGTGCAGTGGTAAGAAATGTTCAAGGTGTGCAGTGGTAGGGCATGTTCAAGTTAGGCACTTCCATTACAAATGGGAGTAACTGGAGGGAAAGAAGAAATAGCCTGCACTGTGAGTCCAAAATCCAGCAGGACATACCATTCCTCTAAAGCTTGGAAATTAAGCCTCTGTTGTCCTGAACTATTGTAGCCTTGTTCTTCAGACTGTGGGTTTCAGCCACGCTGGGGAAAAAGAAAAAGATTGGGGGACACTTTATAATGAAACATCATCAGAATGACATTATTCGTCATTGCCTCATGTCAAGGCCTTAAACTATTTTTATGGTTTGAGAATAAAGACAAGATTACTGTACAAACAAGAAAACTCAGGAAAGTATTCGTTTGAAGCATATGAAGTTACTATTTATGAAGCTTAGAAATAGTATATTATCAGCAGTTTCATATAGTTTGAGTTAATACAAAGAAAAACAATGAAGGTTGCTGATAATATTACCACTCAGGAAAGCTGAAAGAACCCACTACTGTGGATTTCATTCTAATTCATATTGATCCTCCATTGGGTCTCCTTGGCTTCAATCTTAAGAGGTTTGCTCAATCTGCCAATTTTCAATAAGCATTGCAGCACTTAACCTACTTGCTACCAGGACTCCTTTAATTATCAGCTTCTTAAGTTATCAGCAGCTTCATATGGTTGAAGTTAACAGAAAGAACAGTGACAATTACTTGTAATTCTATCAATGTTGTTGCTGTTATGTACTGTCAAGTCACCTGTGACCCATAACGACCCTATGTACAGCAGCTCTGAAGCCCTGCCCTGTCCTGAGCCAGTCTCACTGACTCTGACACACTTACCCCCATTGCCCTAGTTACTGTACATCAGTCCATTTCATCAGAGCTCTTCCTTTCTGTGCTGTCTCTCCACCCTTCCAAGCTTGATGTCCTTCTCCAAGGACCAATCCTGGTATATTCCTTTATGTCTTTTTTTAATACAATTGTATTTTAACAAAATATGGAATTTCTCTTGTACATTTTATGTCCTAATATTTTCAGTTGTGTTAAGTGCCTTTTCCTATGTCATTAAAAATGACGCTAAAGGGAGTGTGTAAGCGGATAGGTGAGGACGGGCGGGGAGGGAGTAATCATAGGGTCGGGAGGGTGAAAGAAATGGGAAGGATTCGGTGTGAAAAACATGTATTCGAACTGTAAATAAACCAGTATTTAAAAAAACAACAACAGCAACACACACATGGAAAAATAAATAAAACTGATATTTTTTCATTTAAAAAAAATGACACTAAAGAGAATTTAATGTCTCTAATGCATTATTTCACCAAAATACATTTAGCAAAATAAAGAAGCTCTGGTGACCTAGTGGTAAGAAACCTCACTATAATCCCAAAGGCATGTGTTTCAAATCCCCCAACTGCCCCACAGGAGATGGAAGGACAATCTCCTGCTATCCGATTAACTACCTCTGAAGACCCACTCATTGGAAGGTCAGCTATGAGTCGGTACTGACTCGATAGTACACAACATTACATTACTTCACCAAAATATATTTAGCAAATTAAATGGAATATTATTTTACTTTTCCATGGCTTCCAAAGTTTTCTCATTATAAATAAGCGTAACAAATTTTATTCTAATTCTAGTACTCTAGTTTCTCAGAAAACATTTATGTTATGAAATTATTAGTCAGAAGTGCATGAATTTTTAAGGTTCTTGTATATTGTCATAATGTTTTCCAAAAAGTTCCATCTACCTGTAAACCTATTGATGGGTTATGAGAAAATCTATCAAAGTAACACCTAATTGCTAAAATATAACTTTGTTTTTATTATCTTCTGTAAATATTTGCCAATTTCACATATATACACGTGTTTTTAATGTATGTGTGTGTGTAGAAAGGAAGAGATTGATTAATTTAACATACACCTTTTAAATACAAATAAGATTTACATTTTTATGTTTTTACTGGGCATTATTGCTTCTTTTGTGAATAAATATTTGTGTTTGGTCTTTTCATATTTCCCTATTCAATGTAACTTACTATTTGTAAGAATTCCTTGCATACTAATTACAGTAACTAGGTCACTGAGCTTTTAGTTTACCTTTTATTTCTAAAAAGTTTCATGAACTAAATCTTATTTTCTAATTTATTGTTGTTATGTGCCATCGAGTCGCCTGCGGCTTATAGCGACTCTATGTACAACAGTCCTAAACTCTGCTCTGTCCTGTACCAATCTCACTGTCTCCAACACACCCACCCTGATTACCTAGTCACTGAATCAATTCACCTTATATAGGGTCTTTCCTGCCTGCCCTGTCCCTCCACACTCGTAAGCATGATCCTCTCCAAGGACCCGTCCTTCTCTGCAACATGCCCAAAGTATGTCGGACGAAGCTTCAGAATCCTTGCCTCCAAGGAGCAGCTCAGTTTAACCCTCTCTAGGATGAACTCGTTCATTTTCTTAGCAGTCCATGGTATATTCAACACTCTTCTCCAGTATATATGTAATAACTTTTTACATTTAAAAAATTCTTTAAAAAAAGTAAAATAAAAAAGAGAGTAACAATTTTTAAAAATGCATACTACTATAAAAGAAACACAATGTATAATAATTTTGTATGCAAACTTATATAAAATATAAAATAAAAATAATTTTTAAAATGCTTAACATTTTGAGAAATAGGGGGGGGAACCATGAAAAATCACATATATTTCCAAATTTTTTTCTGTGCAGAAAAAAATCATTCCTTACATGCTTTTTCTTCTGTATTTTAAGCATACCGATACACTCACTGTGGGGTAAAACACATATAGAAATCGAAATGGATGAGCTGCCTTCACAAAAGCAATCCTGGAACAGCATATGGCTTTGACATAAATCTGAACTGCAGCGATGCAACAGTGTGTTGTTTGTTGTTGTTTTCTTCAACAGTTTGTGATATGGCCGTGTTGAAGGCCAGAACTGATGGAGGGTGAGAAGAACCACGTTTGAGCTGTGAAGGGATGGGACATGGTGTAATCTACAGGTCACCTGGAGATGGATCAGTCACCAGCTCAAATGGATTGACCTGTGTGCATGTTTTTGTCTTTCATTCTTGTGTCTGCAGACAGGATATTGAGCAGCAGCTGGGCTCCTTGATCTTAGCAACAGACATCAACAGGCAGAATGAATTTTTGACCAGATTGAAAGCTCACCTCCACAATAAAGATTTAAGACTGGAGGATTCGCATGACAGGCACTTTATGCTTCAGGTAAAAAAAAAAAAAAAAA